GATAACTATCGATATATCGATAACTATCGATATATCGATAACTATCGATATATCGATAACTATCGATAACTATCGATAACTATCGATATTTCGATAATTATCGGCATATCGATAAGTAAAATATATCGATAGGTAAGTACCCGATACTTATCGATAGGTGAAAACAGTTATCGACCATCCCTAGTCTTGATCCCCTCCATCACCCAATTTTTTTTACATGCGGTCATGTAACACTCTGTACTAATAAAAAACAAGGCGATCAAGTCCCATTTTTCTTAAACACTTAGTTTGATTTGAATTATTTTTTTCACTTATAATTGCACAAGAGGTTTGAATTTTACCGAGTAAATTTGGGTTGTTAAGGTAATGAAAATCTGTTGCCTAGCAATTAGACGAGAAAAACTGTCAACTAATAAAAATGCGACACCGAAGGTGGAGCATTTTTAGGTTGACAGTTTTTCGAGTTCAATTGCTAAAAGGAAACAGATTTGAATTGCAGCAACCCAAATGTACTCGGTTTAAATGCAAACCTCGAGTACGAGTGTAATTCGGCAGGACAATTTAACGAACAAGAAATTCACCAAACTAGTCAATTATTGACAGACGTCAAACTAGTCATATGGGAAAGGATAATGCGATAATTGGTGCGAAAATGAATAAGTGGAAAAACCACTAGTGCATTTGTCGCTGGAAAAGTTGCAGGTAACTTTTGCCGCTGTCAAAGTGACAATTGCACTGCGGCTTATGCGATTTTTTATACATGAGTTGAATTGTCACTCATAAAAAGAGAAAACTGACAATGCTTACTTCGTGATCACGTGTCCCTGGTAAATTAGATTCCTACCTAATTTTCCTCTTTACCACTTAGTAAATTACTAATACATTCTCCTGCTCAAAACATACACACGCACCTTGAATACGAAATAAAACTTTTATTCAACCAAAAGAATGGTATTACTGAATTTAATGGAAAATCTCAATCAATGAAATAAAATACCCCAAATCCTTTGTTTGGATTCGCTTCTCCGCAATAAATACAACACAGAATTTGTTGTGCAAATTGTGCTCATAGGTCGATTTCTTTAGGAATATCAGTTACTTTAAACAAAAATCAAATTGAAAATTACCAGACCGCCAATTTATACAATTCAAAAAGAATTTAAAATAACACAGATATTGAGGTGAGTAAAATTCTCTCCCGCTACGAATTGATCTTCTTGGAAAATTGTCGCTCAATGGTACAGTGGACTGTTTGTCTCAACTTGGTAACGTTATCTTCGTGGTGAATGCCAAGCATGCCGTTATTCTACACTGGAATAAAACGACAATGTTGCTGTATGAATTTTAAATTTTTTCCAATTAATTAAGCTTTTTTTGTTAGTAAATATTGTCTCATTGTCTTTCAATTTCCCGCCGTTGCCGTTGAGTATAAAATGTTATTCATCCCATAAGACGTTGCATAAATGCGTTACGCAAATTTGATAAATTTGCTTATAACTAACCGTTTGCGGTTTGGTTTTAAACACAATTCTCCGGCTCGAAAATGATCCTTCGCGTAAATCTTATCGCGGACAAATAAACGGCCCTGGCACAAATAAAGGCCGCCAAAAGGTTTTTCTTCATCTCGTAATCCACTACAAATTTGTTATCTGCGCACGAATGAAATTTCAGGTAGATAGCAGTTTGTCACGAACGAGAATTTGTTTAAATGTTCTCCGCGATAACACCGAAGTTTAGTAAAACTTGCCACTTAATATATTTTTCACTAGAAGTTAATCTGATAATCTATGCAACTGCTTGGAAGATTTTGTCAACTAATTAAATGTGTGAATCTTCAAACTGAACACAAAATCTTCACTAATACGCGGAATGAAAACCATTCGTACATAAAATTCAGCAGCTTTGCGCGCCTCCAAAATTCCAAAGAATTAATAAACAATTTTTTAATTTACACCTGAAGTAATTTTGGGTGCGAAATTATTGAAAAATGTAACTTGAGAACTCTTATCTGGGTCGTATTTTGGGTTCGATTAATCACAAAACCAACTATTTACGGATGAGGAAACAAACAGGCTGGAAAAAAACAGGTACCCAGAGTCATATAGAATACAACACGAAACAAGCGATCGATTAAATTGAATGAAATCTTAACTTCTTACAGTGCTCATAATCCATAATCTGGTCAAAATTGTGATTTTTATCAATCAATACAAACACTAAATTAATGCTGTCTCACAGCTCTGCTTCTATACCATCACTTGAATCTTGATTGTCACGAACTGTCGTTCTTGTAATTCCAATTGTAAATGTGACTTTTCAGTGATGGACAACTTCACTTTCACAGGTACTTGGAACTCTCCGTATGCGCGAACATGCCGATGCCTTATTAACTCGACTACCCACTTTTATAACGACTTCAAACTTTCTCCCACAGCTACATCATTTAACTTTCTTTTATAAAACTTTATAACTGCCAAGACGGACTGTTGCAAAATACGCTCAAACACTGCTACGATTTAATGTCCAGAAATTCGATTCAGGTCTTCCACCAAAAAGAGCCATCGGCAAAAAAAAACGCTTGGCCAACAAAAGACGTCGTTTACCGTCCGGTTCGCTTACTTAAAACCTTTTTCCTTTCCTCACATCCGTTCCCCTTTCCTTTACAAAATAATGTGCGTCTTCGGCCAAAATCGAACTACACCTGTGTTTTCTTAACGGCGAAGATAAACTTTTACAATATCTATGCAAATGTTCTAGATACTCCTTATCTTACTAACACAAAATAAATATACGAGCGACTTCCGGAATAGGACAGTGTCGATATGTTGAACGAAAAGTGAGGTTATTTTTATTTCTTGTCCCGATGAATCGCCCTACGAAGGTGGGCGAAACATTCACTTTTCGTCATTATCACGGTCTTGCCCGGAAGCCGTTCGCATGATAATGAAAGTCTCTGCTGTAACACAAAACAACTTTTACAAAAATAAAATAAACAAATTAAACAAAGCAATTATTTAAACAAAATTAACAACTTGAAATTAAACAATCACGGTGACTCATCATTACTGCAGGTGCCGAAGCCAAATAAAACGTTGCCTGTCGTAGTTTCCAGGTAGGTAGGTACGGCCGGTTTCAACCGATTTTGACCTTGAGATCTGCGCATGCGCCAAGTCCAAGTGTGATTGTCTAAACCCAATATCACTGAAGGGCATCGAGGTTGTTGTCTAAACTAAAAACTGTGGTCTTTTCTAAACTAAAGCAATGTTAAACGCTAGCTCTGTGCGCTGCATTACTCCATTGCATCGTAATGTGTGCTCGATTCCAATGTCACTGAAACTTGAAGGTGAAATAGAGGGCAGAATTGAAGGTGGAATAGAGGGCACACAGAAAACGAAATAATAGCGATTCAAAAGCCAACTAAAAGTAAAGTGGGTGGTTGTTACCTGAACTAAAGCAATGTCGCTGAAGGTCAAAACGAGATGGTCCTCAACTAAAATGTAATTCGTTCAAATATTCCATTATGGTGGCGGGGAATGGGCCTTATACAAGCCTCTTCCAATGGATATACAAAAATGTTTAGTTAAGTAGGTACTTTGGTTAACAGTGGTTTACAGTAAATTTCAAATATTTAACGCATGATTTATTAACTATTTAAGTAAATGTAGTAGTTCATGACAAAATCACTAAATTTAGGAAAACTGAGTTAGCTAAACGGTTCACAATTGAATTGTTTTTCAATGACATGTAATATGGATTGTTTCAATTTCTCACGAATAGTATAGGTTTACTAAAATCTAAAAAACACCCTTTCTTTGAGATAACTCCACAAAAACTACAGCCATTTAAAAGTGGGATCTTTTTTCTGAATAACCTTCTATTTTTATGGCAAACAAAAAATTCGGCAAAATCTCTTCAAGCACTTTCCCTTTCTAGTTTATTAAAAGTGTTCTGCGTCATTCTAGTTATTTAAAGTGTGTGGGTATCTACAACAAATTTCTCACGGCATTAATCGAATTTTCGGAATAATTTTCTAAAGATTGAATATGCTAGAAGTTGATTGAGTTTCGTTTTCAAACAATGCACCTCACTTAGAGTAATTCGAATTCCGAAAATATCTAAGATTGAGAGCGAACCCGTTGTTTAATTGCAGTAAATCAATAGGCCGCAGATTTCCACCGGGAGTGAGTTTGAAATGTACAGACAATACCAGCACCTGTCAGTTTATTCGTCGATTCGGATAGTGATCTTTCATCCATTTTTTTTTGTTTCAGCACGCTGTGTAATATCACAGGGTTTGATATTCGTGTCCGAAAAATTGAACCGATTTCATCTCAAATTGACGTATACAGCACGGCGTAAGTAAAAGATTTGCTTTAATTAGTAGGCTACATTCGAGTTTTCGTTTTTAGCACTGATGTGTATCTTTACGCAGTCGACCCCTTGCTCAACGTAGTTGTAGATGCAGACAGGCTTCAAAGGTAGTAACGTTGAAACACACTTAAATGTTTAGAGCACCCTTCATTCTCATTTATAGAATCCTGGATTTCAAAAGAGAAATGATAGACAAAGAGTTGGAAGCTTTCCAAGTACTGGGTTTAACAACAAATATTTCTGAAAGAAAATCCAAAGGTCGCATGTTACAACTGTCTACTTTGGAAATTGGAGTGGTCGTACTTGGATGTTTGATATTTATCTGTTGTCTAATTGTGCTAACTTGTGCGATAGTCAATCGTCAAAGAAAGAAAAGGTAATAATTTACGAGCGTACCTATCGATAGTTTACAAACTGAATTGGTATTTTTGAAACAGGTTAAAGGAATCTAAATTTATCTCACGACCCCCTCCAACGTACGGCATTTCGACCAGCGAATTTGGAAAAACTTTACATTTTCCATCAAATTTCGAAGAATCGATTCAGTACACTGAGGCAAAACGAGACGTTCCTAAAATTCCGAAACACTCAGCGGATTACCCACGAATCCTGAAACATACGTCACACGCAGACGAAAGGGCTAGAAGCATAGGAGGTCTGGAAACATCCATGACATCGCTACACTCAAGTGGAAAAGATTCCGGGATCATTGATGAGAGTCAGCACTGTCCGTGTGGACAATCCAGTAGCGTGGGTTCCGAAGGTAGTTGCGGGTATGTACCTATTAGCATATGAAACTCCTATTTGTGCATGGTCACGCAGCAATCTAAGCATTGAATAAGTTTTTTTAGTCACTAAATCGTTTATTAAACTTGCTTGCACATTGTTTTTGAATTGTTATAAAACCTTTGGTTTTTTAAAACTTGTTTGTTGATTTTCATGGTCCACAATATGTCAAACATCCAATCCCTTTGCGAATCTATTGTATGAAGATGTTGAGATATTGACATTATGGACCATGGAATAGATTTCAAGGGACTGGTGTTTCCTTCGGGTTTAAAGTAGTAGATTCGTCATTTTTTAATGAAACTTAGATGAAATGAAAGTTGAAAGCCTATGCGATAGTAAAGTTAAATGATACTGTCATAGGGTTGGTTTTCAAGATATATCCACTTGAAAATCGTCTAATTTAACATGGGTGCATAGAAGAAACCTTCCAGCGTTCCAAACGATAAAATATTATATTCCCATCATTTCGGATTGCGACTGCCCTCTAGAGATTTCTTGTTTCATTAGGAATGCACTGATATAAGGCAAAGTATTTACTTTCGAGATATCTTGAGTTATCTACGTCAAAACGGCTCAGATCGGCTGCTGTAACGCCAATCTTCGTAAAAAGCTTCCACAATTTAAACCCCAATGTTTGTAGAGACCGACTATCAAAAAGGAAGCAAAAGAACATGATACGAGTAAGCCTGATTAACACTTATAATGTGCACACTCGATTTTTGAAACCCTGTATTGCAGAAAACAATGACTTGGAGTAGAGCTTTCATGGTCAGTTACATCGTTGCTGTGAATTATTTTCTTGTAGGGCTTTTTTTTAATTTTCCATCCTATTTGATCAATTATTTTTTGTTGCTAGTTGTGACTCCTGGATGGCCATTCATTTGCACACACCTCCAAGCCTTTCCTGCGGTGCCTTTCAAATTCCTTTCTCAGTTCCTGTACTGTCACTCCTATTCCAGTCGTATTCCCAATCATTGCTTTTGAAACCCCACCAACATCGTGAAGGTCCATAAAGTCTTTCGAGTTCAGTCGATTTCCATTTTTCGATTTCTGTTAAAAACTTGCCTCTTTATAAAATTAGATGTAGTGATGATGGAGGCAATGAGAGCAGACTCGTCAATTTTGAAGTGATTCAACAAGTCATCTAATAACACGCAGTCGGATACAGTATTGTGGGGATTGTTGATGGGGTACTGCCATTCCTTCTCAGTGAGAGATTGGGCAGCAAGTTGGTCTTGTTTGCGAACATTGCCTTGTCTAATGAGCGGCAACGTGTCCATCATGCCATGAACCAGGTCGCAGAATTCTTCAAGTTTGTGCTCTTTCATGAAGCGAACAATCCTGGGTGCATAAACCGAATGAAGTTGTGTCCAACGAACACAACTTGGCTGCCACAGTGCCTCAAGAACTATAGAAATTGCTGCGCAGTTAGAAGTGGTGATCTTTCGTCTAGTTCTAGCAGAACCATAAGGATTCATCTTCATTCTTCTTCACCACTTTTTGCTGCAATCTGAACGATGAAATATGAAATTTGCTACACGGTCTTTACATTTTTCGAATTTTCTCAAAAAATTCAGTTACAAAATAAAAACATCAAAAAATCAAAGTAGACCTTGAAGTTTTGCACGTTTACTCAGTTTTTGATTCTGAATAACTTTTTTATAACATTTGTACGTGTCTCGTCTCCAAAGCGTACTTCACTGGTATGCAAAACACGTTTTTTTGAAAATTTCAAAGACACCCTTGAATTCGAAACTAAAATTGTGTCACAAACTAGTTTCCAAAGCAGGGCTGGTCCTCAGAAGTCTAAATTCAATTTGAAATTTTTTGTCTTTTACAAAAGACCACCAAACAATCGGGGGACACACTGTATACGGGGTGTCAATTTTAAAACTTGGAGTCGGCCATATTTTCCAAACTTTTCGGGTGTATCGAGGGGGAACCAGAATGACGTTATGAGTGACAACCTCCCACCCCTCCTTAACCCCAGCCTCCCCCTTCAAAAATCCTAAATGGCAACCCCATACTTGTGACACATCGTTCGAAAGCTACTAAAAAATGCTTTCCAGTGGTACCAATAAAGTCAATATCCATTAAGACAATTTAACAAAAATTTAATAATTAACAACAAAAAAACTAAATGTTGGCATTGAGGGATTTATGGCAAATTGGCCAAGAACCTCAACCTGAGCTGCTTCATTAAGCAATCTTGGTTGCTTTCTTTTTTTATTGATAACAGATCCCGTTTCTTCGAATTTAGCGACCAAATTTTGAACATAGGCACGGCTTACATTTCTACCGGGAAGTCTCTCATTAAACGTTCTAGCTGTTCTAAAAGATGATCGATTTTCGGAGCCATAAATGAATATTATTTCCACACGTTCAGCTGTACTGTAAGTTAATAAAAAAAGAAAGCAACCAAGATTGCTTAATGAACCAGCTCAAGTTGAAGTTCTTGGCCAATTTGCCATAAATCCCTCAATGTCAACATTTAGTTTTTTTGTTGTTAATTTTTGCAGAGGGGGGCTGAGGGTTAAGGGGGGGTAGGGGGTTGTCACTCATAACGTCATTATGGTTCGCGCTCAATACCCCCGGCGCGATTTTCAATATCTTCTTTACTTTGGAAAACCGATGGCCGACTGCAAGTTTTAAAATTGACACCCTGTATAACGAGTTGTATACCATTTATCGTAAGTATATTATATATGTTGTAATATGGACGTTTGGAGACACAAAATTAAGTGACAAATGTTAATATTAATCGTAGAGTTCATATTGTTACTTATACCTTAGTATACACTATGCTTATACTTACTCCTGAAATAAAGTCTAAAGTGTTAGAAGCGTTATACTTTGAAACTGTAACATTTTGATTTTCATTAGAACTAAAACTGACAGCACAGGAACACTTTTTCATACACTCGTTTATATTAAGCATGCACTTTAGCATCGAATACACACTCCATAAGCTTGAACTTTTTAAGGTCTTCGATTTTTCCTCGGATTTTTCCATAAGGTAAGCTAATAGTACATTTTCAGACACGGCTTTGGCGTTTTTCTTGTTGCACCAGTCTTTAAAGTCCTTGTAGCATTTTTCGTACTGCCGCTTCGATTTTTCAGGTACTAACTGCGACACAGCAGAATTCGCAACAAGTTTTATTTCCGGAGAAGTTCCGGATATCGAAGAATCACTTTCGGAGTCACACATTTTGACTTTTCTTTCACGAAAAATTATTCATTGTTTATGTCATTATCATGGTAAAATGAAAACTGGCCGTCTTTCTATTTGCGAAGAAAATAATTATTTTTGAAATCTCATTTTTATTTATTGACGATTCTACACAATTGCACAAAAAATGTTGTGTATACCACGGCCGCGTCATTCTTTAACGCCCTCAAAGTTGCCTTGCCTCGGCCGCAAGTGGCCTCGGCGCCAATCTTTTTTTCGGTACGTTAAAGAATGACTTCGCGGCCTAAGTATACAAATAACTATTAAATTGCTCCATAAGTAAAAAAGTTGAGTTTTGCGCATGCGCAACGCGATTTGTTGCGCATGCGCTTCGTTAATGAAGATATTTCTTTGAAATTTTAACCATAAATGAATCTAGTAGAGTAACACATATCACATGTAGTAAAAATCGAAAACTACAAATGTCATTAGGAAAAGCAAACATATCGCACATAGTATAAATCAAATCCACGCATGCGCAGACTGCAAAATGTCAACTTTTTTACTTATGAAAATGTCTCTCTAAAGTTTAACCATAAACGCTTCTAGTAAAAACAAACATCGCATACCTATAGCATAGTGCTCATGCGCAAACTGCGCAACGCCACCTTTTTGGTTTATGGAGATATTTCTTTCAAATTGTAAACATATATGCCTCTAGTACAGAAAATAACAGCGCACATAGCTATGAACGTTTGTAAGGGAGGTATTGCATTGGAGTACAAAATGACCTCCTTGACGGAAATACCCGTTTTGAAGCACCAGGAATCCGAATTAGACAGAACCTCGTTTATGTTGATCGGTCTGTTCGTCTATCGGCTTTGTACTCTCATTTCCTGCTAAACGGCTGAACCGAAATTTTTTATAATAGTAAACGAGTATCATTTCAATTTATTGATTTTGAGGTAACCTGATGCTTCAATTCATAACACTCTCCGTAGCGACGAGGTCTGCTGTACCACAGATTAAATACTCTGGCTGAACCATCAGTGTTAGTTAAATTGTGATTTATAAAATCAAGTAGATTAACAAACTGCTTTATATTTCAAGTAGCTTGACCTGGTTTCAAGTCAAATCAAGTAGTTTGAAAGTCAAGCGGTGGATTCCTATGTAGGTATGTAGGCATAGGGCGTTTACCGTCGAATTAGAAATTTAGAAATTGTTCCTGTAGATTCAAATCAGAAATACCTGGTTTTCGTAGGCCGTCTCTGTACACATTTAGTTTATTCTCTGTTAATGTAGATTGCTGTATTCCAATTAAAAAAAAGCGCTGACTGTAGCTTCAACTCGCGGAAACAGCATTCCACTTCAGCAAAATCGTTACGAATTATTTCCGCTTGGTTTAGAGCTTTCCCCAATTAAATTTACAAGATGAACGTCTGTTAGTGGTTACTGATAGCTTTAGAAATCAGTCTCCGTAATTATACAAGAATTATATTTCCTATACGCGAATATTTTTAATTACTAAAAATGCCCCGTAAAGTGATGTTAATTATTGTGATGGAAACTCCATATTTGAAGGATATTTTCATTTTACAGTATGACGCCCCAGTGGCACTTCTGATAGCACGGTGTCATTTGAAGTGTTAATAATATACCCTTACCGTACATTTTTAGTTCTTTTTTAATGTGCTCTTTTTACGCCTTCCATTACGTCTAAATACAGAGCTTGCAGGTGGGGTGGAATTATGGCGGCGAAGTTTTTTTTTAATGCGAACGCACTAAATTTGTGGGATATTATAAATGACATTATCGCCGCAATAGCGACTATCTGTATTACGAATCTAAATTCGTACCGATAATTCATATAAATGGTTTCGTTTACAAAATACACGTAATTTACGAAACACAAATCATGAAGGAAAACCTTTGCGTGTAAATCAAAATATCATATAAGCACGTCCCTTGTGTTGTTCCTTAATCGTGGATTAAATAAAGTCTCGCGGTACTAGCTATTTAGCTACTGAATGTGTAAATGGAAAAGATGGACTGACGAGAAAGTTATCTAGTATAACAGTCCTCATAACTGACCACAAACCGCATATAGGTACAAATGTGAAAATTGTAAGACATTTCAGTTGGGATTAGTGCAAAGTTAAACCATTTGGCGATTATTCTACAATGTTCCACAGAAATGATTAAAAAAACGCTGTGAGTAACCTCTTAAATTCTTTTCCGCCCAAAAGAGTTCCAGAAGCTATACCTACTGATTTGGGAATACTCTGAAGCAAAAATTCAGGAAAGCAAACATAAAACGCGTCGCTATGGTGAAAAACAAAAAGAAAAGAGAAAATGACTTGAAAAACTCAAATAATTTGACAAAATTGCCAAATTTGCTAAACATAAAAAATAAGGAAAAGATAAGGTAGAAAGTACAAGAGAATGTAGCTAATTTCTTCCCACATTTGATGTCCTTCTTTTAATGAACCAAGAAGATATACGCGGTGAGTATGCTAGCTGTATGCATCTAAGTTTGCTTCTGTAATTAATAAATGTAAAAATGTCGATTTGGTAATTGGTTTTGACGTCTCGAAAACAAAATGGCGCGAAAGGTCGTGTTACAATGCTTGTCGTATAATATTTCCTATATTTGTGATAACTGATGAGCTCCGCTAAAAGTACCGTAAGGTACTACCTACCATTGAATAAAAATAGTGTTTTTATTCAATGGTACTATCACAGACTGTATATTTAAATGTGTGGTACTACCATAAAGCATCTATCGAGGCTTCCTATGGAAGTGATATGTCGTTTTTTTGTAATACAATTTAGAGGGCGTGTTATTACTAATTTTCGAAACAGTAAATTTTCCGGATTTCATTGTTGATGGAATCATTGTTCTTATGTTCTAGCTACTAATCTACGAATCTACCAACAGTAAATCTGAATACGCCTGATGACCCGGTGTACTATTATTAATACCCTAATAATGGTTTCTTATAAGAAATCAAAAATGGGCCATGCTGAAGTGGAGAAGTACAAAATCGTTTCAATATAAATTCTCGAGGTTCACTCGTTATATTAAAAACGCCAAAAATCGTAATACAATGATAATTACAAAAAAATGGTATGAATGCCTAATAATAGAAAGATATAATCCCCAATAAGAATTTAAGTCGTTTGAAATTCACCGTCCTTAATTTTAGGAAGTTATTACCGTTTCGAAATCGTTTATTACGTTAATGGAATAATTCGTTCCTACTACTTCATTGAAAACTAAAGCACTCCCACGCTTCTAAAAAAGTAGGTTCATTGATAAATTTACCATTATGATTACCTTATACCATTGTTTAAATACTTCAGTAAACATTTTAATTTACGTTACATGCGAAATGGGTCTTGTTTTACCTTAAACTTAGATGCTTGGTGTACCTTGAAAAGATGAAATAGTTGAAGTTGTTTGAAGTAGTCCAATAGGGAAAACAACCGCGGAATAGAGTGTATTAATGTATATTATACACCAAAGGACTATACTTACATTATACAGGGTGGGCCATTAATGCATGGGTGGATTTATTAACGCAAACATTTAAAATTCATGGTATAGAAGATATTATTACTCCGGTAATCATATACCGCAATTTCAATATCAAATTGTGACCGGGTAATAATAAATGCCAGTTAGCTAATTTAAAGATACTCGTTCAAAACTATGGCGCAGAAATGATCGTTTAAAACCGCACAAAAGCAGCTACGAGGAAATTACTTTTTACTAAGAAGTGCTATTGAAATTTTGGATCGAGAGACCTTATAGTAATGACTACGGTGTACGCCCTACAGCCCGCATACTAAACTGTGCATGTCTTGGACCAATTGACAGTTCTTCTTCTCTTGTTCTCTTCTTTTGAAAAGCAGCAGCAATTTGGAAAGTTGGATGGTGGGTCGGCTTGTGCAATACAATCGGACTTTTGTATCGCCTGGTAAATTTGACTGCTCGTTGGAAGGGAATCTCGAAAGATCTATGACAATTTGAATCCGGAACAAACCGTGCGTCAGGTTTCTGCAACATTAATAGCTGAAGTTTGGTATTTAATTTGGAATTAATTAACCAATGTTCCGCAATTGGAAAAGGTCAAACAAATTTACCCGTATCTTGGGGTTTGACAACTAGCAAAAGCAAGAATAAATTGAGTAAAATCTACGAACACCCCGTATACAAGAGAGGTGCGCAGTTTTGATTAAGAGACTTGTTTATAATCGTCTAGCTCCAAATGCAAACACAATGAACGTTCTGCACTTTGGACCACAACGCTTTCGTGGCAACTAATTATTCAAACGCGAGCACGCTAGTTCGATAAATTCATAACGCCCCCGCGACAATAATTTCGCCGATATTAGCCGTACAGTTTTACTTTAAAATTTCAGTAAATAGCTTCCTCTTTCACAATAAAATATCACGTTCGAATACGCGGCTCACAAATCTTTTTTAAATTCTAAAATACAGCTTTGGTTTAAACGAAAGCTTGGCGAATATTACGCGATTTAAAAATGCCGCGTAACTCACATAGTTAGCTTCGAAAGTTTGGATAAGAATGCCTCTTTCCCACCCGATTTTTTCTTACATACCCGCCGAAATAGACCCAGCGCAAAACCGATTTCAGCTATGTTTGTATGCATGTAGAGGTATGGCAGAAACGTCGTCCCTCATACTCCGCTACAACGGTTTATAGAAGCGGCAAACTGTGGCGTTTGGACTCTTATCTGGTTTTACATTTGTTTATTATCTTATTTTCTCGCATATTAGTTGTTCTCTTTCATTATGAAGCGGTACACGTATAAAATTTCCTGTAACGGCAACTTTGAAAAATTAAAATAGACATTTTGTAAGCCTAAACTGACGACCTGTTACATAACGTATAAAAGTACAGGAAAAACAATGGTAAACTTAGTCTCATCGTTTAGGAAGCGTCTAATTTTAGTTTGATATTTTGGTTCTTTTGTCCACGGAATGGCATGACGTTACTAGGAACCTTTTTGTGGTGATCCGGTAAAATGAATGGTATATCGGCGGAAATAAGTCTTTTCTGTCGCTTAATTAATAATAAGGTTAATTTCTTTGCACAAAATGAACATGATATTGCGATCCGATGTGAAGAGGTTAATAATTGGTCTAAATTTTGTTTGAATGTGAATAAATTCGATGAAATTTTATGGTACCTTCACATTGCTTGTGTCACATTGTTCCTTTACGTCCATAATTTAACAACCTAGAGTAATCTCGCATCACGTACTTCTTCAATACGTATTTGAAATGTGCATTGCACTTTAAACCACTGTGCGGTTGTAAACAAATAAGATAAGTGCAAAGTAAAAGTTTCATTTCCTTTTTATAGGAGCAGCTACGAAGACTCCTTGAACTCTGAAAATCAACCAAAACTGCAACACGACAACGGTGCCGTGCATAACTATCGAGTGTGCCGTTCAACAACAAAACAACAGCGTCGTAAAAGGAAGAAGACGACGACCTCCGAAGGTTTGGGACAACGGCCGCATACCGTCGCATTTTTAAATCCGTATTCGCGCCAAATTTATCCCAACTCTTCTTACTTATTCCCAAGACCTTTTACTACGACTATGGTTGCACACGGTAGAAATCCGTCGTGACTATTTTAGTAAGATTGTAGATTTATGTATTTGTGTCAGATGTATAAGACTACAAAGCTCCATTGTCATAGTGTTACCAAATCCCTGTACGTACATCTTGTACTTGCATTTAAATCTCACGCCTTTTGTGAACAACGTATTTACTAGTAACCGTCTTATAATGGGGTTAACTTGCATCTAGCCTATAATTCCCAAAACACCGCAGAAAACAGAATTTATCAGCTATGTGACATCGTTTAAGCCGATCTGAAGGAACCGTCGCAGTAGTGTGGTTATATCGTGAAAAAATTGAAAACTTTCTAACTTATGTATATAAATAGAATTTAGAAATGTAATTTTTCCCCCTTGTACATAATATATAGCATTAAACAACTCTATTTTCGATTGTGTTCAGCCTTTTCACCACACTCTACGACCGAATTGACAGGTAAGTACCTACACCTGTAGCAGCTCATTTCCCTCCGATTATTCGATGAAATATGTATTGATCCTTTTTTTTGTATTATTTTCATTCATTCCAGCAACCTCGTATTTGAATCATTACTACACTCCTTTTCCAGCTCACGGATCCTTAAAACGATTTAGCTTGGATTTCAGCTTATTATTATTCGCGAGACATCTGCTGCATTTATTTACTTTTTATAAACGGAGCGTTGAAAAATCGGTAGTAAGTAAAATAAAAAATAGGTTTTTTTCTGAACACATTATTTTTTATATTAGCCTTCGAAATGAATTTTAAGAGCTTAGTTTTCTAAACAAGTACATAAATGATGGATTAAAATGTTAGGATGGTAACCAAAAAGCCCGAGTGCGAAGAGTTTAAATGTTGACATAACCAATAGCAGTATAATACCCATCAGTCCACATACACACAAACGTTACATGATCACAGTTTACCAAATTACATTAACGATGAAACAGATTTACATTAACTACATTTTATTATTGATGTTTTTTTTTTCTAAAATTTAGCACAAAAGCACACAACAAAAAGCTTTACCTTCGGCTTGCAAAAAACGCTTTATATGTCGTAGGCATAACGTAGGTCGTAGTACATAATTGATACTATATACAAGGAAATTGTTCCCCAAACAAAACTAACATGGCAGCTACATGTAACGAATGCTTTAGATTTGATTGATTTTTTTCAATTTTTTCGTAGAAATAAGTAAAGGAGAAATTTTCATGTTAAATTAATCAGAGAGTTTTAAATCATTCCCCCAGATGAATAATGGTTTTGGTAACCTTTGGAACAAGCTGGATAATTGCAATCAACGTACGTGCGTTTTCTTCAACGCTGTTTCGTTTGAATGATTAGAAGTGGGATAGCGCTGGAACGTCTCGGATTAGTGTATCGGAGTTCATGATTTCTATTAGGGTGATCAGGTTCAGAATAGCAACGCTGCATGATGTCATCGTCTCATGAAAATCTTAAGTGTGCAGTTTGTGTTCACGTGGGAAGACCAAAAACGCGTTTGAGATTGGTAGTATTCAAAAGCATTAACCGATGAATGGTTAAACATGTTCATATAGAGTGACTATTCGCCATTTTTGTCATGAAGAATGGTAGTACGGAACACTCGTGTTCTGACTGCAAAAGATATCACTGCGGAGTCTTATGATTTGATTTGATTAATCATGGCCAAAGGTAATAAATAGTCCGGTGATTTCTTAATAAATTAAGGCGAACGTTTTTCGATCACGAGTTAACAAGGGCGTAACTGCCCGTTTTTACTAGAAGAGCCAAGTGCCGTGCTTTTCGAGTTGAAGGGATACGAAAGTTTAAAATTCAATTTAGAATTGTTTTTAAGGAAGAAACTGGGGAACCAGTACATGGAAAAACTGCGACAGAAATTGGGCGTCACCCATGACAAATTTCGCGATAATGTGCAGTTAGCTGGCGACAGAATGAAAGTGCAGTACAACGTGAAGGCCCAAGCTGGTGGTTATGAAGCTGGAGATCTGGTTTGGTTGTATCGTACACAGAAGATATGCGGGCTATCCCCGTAATTGCAAAGAGCTTGGGAAGAACCGTATACAGTCGTGAAGAGAATAAAATAATGACTTAATATATCAGATACGGAAACTACCTCGAGAAACACCAGTGGTAGTGCACATAAACCTGTTGGCACCATACGCGGGACAGAACTCGCCACAGGAACAGGAAGCAGCGAGTGTGATTCAAGCGAAATCACTACAACCCACTTTCGCCTAATTTATGGCACATTACTCAGGAACTCAGAAGGCATGCTTTGATGTTATCCGTGATGAATCTATAGATTTGTTTGAAGCACCAGCGGAATACGCTTTGGCTCATTGCATAACCACTGATGTATCCCAAAATATAGCCGTAGAATTGAAGTTCCGATTTGGGCCCTTAAGAGAAGTTTACCTTCAACGTCCCGAGGTGGATAAGGTGTGTTTCCTGCAGGAGGAGGGACGATCTCGTTACGAAGATCCAATCGTGCGTAATATGCTGCATGTGGTATTCCAGGGCACCGAGGTGGAAATATTGGTCTATTACTTTAACCCCAGAGGAATCGCTAAACCCATTCATAAGACGGTGGATTGTTTTTTCTTCAAAAATGGAAGATGCACGTGGGGGTTGTCGTGAAGTACCACCATCAAGTTCGCGTTACAAAACCTGGGACTGAGTCTCTGCTACCGCCGTCGTCCGTGTTGCGAAACCCAACAGTTTTAAGAGGAGTGCAGTGTAGCTAACCTCGAGGCGCCATGAGAGATTAGTCATCGGCGATAAGAGCGAAGGCGGATGTGACGCAATCCTTTCGGGAAAAATGACGTGTTTATTGTAGAACAGTCTGAATCATTCTAGAACATTATTATTATTATGCGGGTCACTCTGTAATTGGGCGCAAGCGTGTTGAGGGCCCAGAACAAGAGAGGGATTATAATCAATTGTCGTTTACTATATAAGTAAATTGTAGCGCATTTCAGTCAGTTCCAACTTCGATGCGCTTCTGATATGTTTTAAATTGTAAGTGATAAATTTGTAAATTTTACTGTTATAAATTAATTCATTTTAAGACTGTTATAAATTTATTGTTTATTAGTTGTAATAAATAAAACACGTAGTTAAACTTACGTTACATCATGAATATTTCTGTATGTGAACATCCCATATTTTACAAACGTTGGTACCCGATACGGCCATGTCCTAACCCCAAGATGAGCTTCCAGGCTGGTACCAATGAACCTGGTGGACATTACACAAAGCTTTTATACAGGGTGTTTATTAAACATGCGGCAAAAATTTAAGGTGCTATTCCTTGGAATATTCTAAGGATATTTTGTCCTTCGATGATTTTTGATATGGCGCTTTGATTCGAAGATACGGGGCGAAAAAAATTTCGACAATAACAATTTATTACAAAAAAAATTACATGTAATGTGTCTTAATCTACATGAACTGTTCAAAATGACTACCCTCCGCTGGGATGCAAGAATTCAATCCTCTCCTCATCGACTCATGAACTCTTTCAAAAACACCAGAAACGTTTCTGATTGCGTTACACCCAGATCATCGAAGGACAAAATATTCTTAGAATAGTCCAAGGAATAGCCCTTTACGTTTTTGCCGCATGTTTAATAAACACCCTGTATAAGTAAGTACATACAACCAAAGCTAGTGCAAGTAGTCACTTTTTTTATAATTTACCGGCAATGTTAGAACGTTTATTTGAAAACATGACCAGTGGAGTGCAACTGTGTCTTGAACATTATGGTGGACATTTTAAACAATCATTGTATTGTAATGAAGTGCTTATGTAAACTTGTGCTTTAAAAATTAAGTTCTTTTATATAATTAATTGTGATTATTTTTAGTTGCCCATTAAATTTGATCTGCCACTGCTTTACTTTTAAATAAATGACATTTGGCGTGCTACCAAGTTTTTTGTTTTGCGAGAAATTCAAACGGTCCGCACTACTTTTGGATGTCTCACATGTTGACGAACTGACCTCATCGCACGGTATGTAATAGACGGGAAGGCCAATAAGAGATTTTTGCAATTTTGTATGACAGTGCAGGTGCCGCAAGTATGGCTGGAAAGTATTTTGGTTTTCAGGCAAAAATAATTGAACAAAATTAGTTTGCTATTTTTTTGCATGTGCCCACGATACACTCACAGTGTATCGTGCATGTGCCGCACATTCATTGAATTTAGTTTGTGTTCAGACAGTTGAATGTATATCAGAAACGAGGATCAAAGGCTTCACAGGTTTCGCAACCCATGCATCCATTGGAGACAGTGGAAATGATAACCGTGTAACTCCATATGTAAAACACAAATAACCCTTGTTCGCCTGGGATCACTTACTCTACGCGCTCGTGTCGAAAACGTAAACGTTCTTAATAATAAGTATCTGCAACTTTTCCTTAACATACCGGTTACGGTCGAGTACGGTACAATCGCTACTTGATGCGACAGCACTGTCTTTTCTGCTTGAACGAAACTGGTAACTTTATACCCATATACAAAACATAAGCATTTCCAATGCTAAAATGGGCAATGTAAAGCAATTGTGCTAACCAAGATATGAAATCGCATTCTTGAAATTATTCATAAAACAAGCATAACGCAGCAACGCCCGTAACAATGGACATTGCAGTAACACGTTTTACTTCTCTCTACGGATCGATCAACGCACTTCTACCACCCATGTTTCCTAATTTGGCAAAGTTTTTCTTTTACAAAATTAGACGGACACATGGCAGTATTTATCTTCACCGAAGAATATTCATAATCATTTATGATAAAATATGCTTCGGCGTTTTTGGCAATTTTTATAAGTGCCATAGCACGAGTTGTTCTAAAGACTTCACAATGCGTTGTGTACGTTCTGTTCGATAATGAGCACTTTCGTTCTTTGAGCCTAACACATATAATAATACTCCCTTAAGTGGTTAGACGCATACAATTCGATATACATTAATACATATTGAGATTGTTTGAATTCTAGCATCATACACTATTACTTGCCGAGGTTGTTACCTTCAATATTGTTTCCCAAAAGTTTCCGCAATAAAAATTTGCTCAATATCGAAGAGTAATTTAATTTATTGGCGCTATCTACTGCGACAAAGCGATTCGCATTGATCTGAACGATCTTCGAAGTGCGGATATAAAAAAAACACCTTTGTTATTATTATTATAGGCGCACCATTCAAGAATCAAACTTCGAGAGAAACTTAAAATACAAATCATGTGTGTGCAGATTGGGCGTTCACATTTGACACGTGTCCCGTTACTGTAAATGTATGACTATATTTGGATAAGAAACTTCTATCCACTTTGAAAAGGGATTTTACTTTCATAACTTTGACAGAAAGTTTGTGGCGGCAGGGGTTTGGTTAT